AACCTATGGAGACACATCTCTGTAAGAATGTAACAGAACTGAAGCAACAAGGATGCAGGGGCTCTGCTCTTATGCTTCTGCTCTCCTGCCAGTTACTGTTTGCTATCCTGAGCTTCTTTTAACTATCTCGTATTGTGCTGATTTACCTTCCTTGTGTAACCCACACATCTAGGCTGTGTCTAGGCTACAAAGTTGTTTCGAACCTATGGAGACACATCTCTGTAAGAATGTAACAGAACTGAAGCAACAAGGATGCAGGGGCTCTGCTCTTATGCTTCTGCTCTCCTGCCAGTTACTGTTTGCTATCCTGAGCTTCTTTTAACTATCTCGTATTGTGCTGATTTACCTTCCTTGTGTAACCCACACATCTAGGCTGTGTCTAGGCTACAAAGTTGTTTCGGAAAAAGATACACAAGGATGTTAATATCAGTTAATTGAGCCCCGCTGGGGCTCTTGTATATTTGAAAGGAGGAATGCAGAACTCCGCGAGAAGTCCAGGGCCAGTGGGAAGTGCCATTGACTCCGGGCTGCACATGGGTGCCAGCTTTGAAATGCACAAGAGTCCCCAGCAGGAGTTCATGTACATTTCAAAGCCACAGGGTAGCATGGAGCCCGGGGTCAGCGGGGGACTCATAGTACCCCACTGACCCCAGGCTCCATGCTGCGCTGCCAATTTGAAATGCCGTGGAGAGCTGCGCTGCCAATTTGAAATGCCCCAAGTGACTCCAGTTCCATGCGGCATTTCCCCAGAATCCGAGGTCAGCTGCTGAGGCTGGGCTCCACAGGCCACTCTGAAATGCTGCCTCGGCGTCTCAAAGGGGCAGCCCTGCACAGCCAACTAGTCCTTAATGTCCTTAAGAATGTCATAGAATGAGGTTTACAGAGATGCTGAAAAAACGCATCTGCTTTTCCAAATTTTTTTTACCTCTGGTATCCCGAAAAACTCTGCAGTCTAGACATACCCCTAGGCTATGTCTACACTGGCGGCTTCTTGCGCAAGAACATCTTGCGCAAGGATTCTTGTGCAAGAAGTCTTGCGCAAGAAAACGTCCACACTGCCATGTGCGAGCTGTGCTTTTGCGCAAGAGCGCCCATGGCAGTGTGGATGCTCTCCTGCGCAAGAAAGCTCTGATGGCCATAGGGTTTTCTTGCGTAAGAAATCCGTGCCGAGCGTCCACACTGCCCTCTTGCGCAAGAGCTCCTGCGCAAGAGGGCTTACACCTGATAAAAAAGAGCGTAGCTCTTGTGCAAGAAGCCCTCTCTTACCACGCCATACTGTAAATTTCCTTGTGCAAGAGTGGGCGGGCAGTGTGGACGCTCTGCAGATTCTTGCACAAGAATGGCTGTACTTGCGCAAGAAGCCGCGAGTGTAGACATAGCCCTAGTGTGGTTCACTGTCCCATGTAGTGGCACTTAGGCCACTTACGGTGAGAGATAAGAAGAAGGGAGCTCTACCTGGCTTTATAGTGCAAGCTGTAGGGGCTCCTATGCTAACTTCCAGAGGTCCCATGTTCAAATCAACTCAATTGCACTTACACTTGCAGTTCCTAATTCATTTTCTCCCACTGTTTTCCTATAATGTTTGTTCTATCTCCTGTTCTCTTTCTCACGAGTGAGATCATAGATTTGCTTGACTGTTTCTAAAATGAATTTCAGTAGTGTTGACCAAAGCTAACCTGTGAGCATTATAAAACTGCCAAGTGATTTTAAGTAAAAAATAAGTGCTAATCTATGACCTTGTCTGTAATGCCCCAAATTTTCACTGTACCTTTCAAACATTGAAAAAACACATTCCCAAAGACAGGTTTAGGTGTGGGGCAAGAGTTTAGATAAGAGGTTGGAGGAGTTTTGGATGAAGAGAATCAAGTATGGAGGAGAAAAGATGTGAAAGCGTGAGAGAAACATTTCTTCAGCAAGGAGGAAGAAAAGTGTTCCATGCATAAAGTGTAATCCTCGAGTGGAAGGAGACAAAGGGGGAACAGTAAGAAGATGATTAAGAAGACTACAAAATGAAGGGGCATGAGGAAATGAAAAGGGAAATGGTGAGGTAAGAGTATGAAGGGCTTTGAACAGGATGCAGTTTCAGATTTTGCACGGGAAAGGGAACTTTAATCTTGACTGATGGAACACCTAATAACTCTAGGGGTTGGGTTTTTTTTTCTTTTTTTCAGATAACTTTAGAATCTTTCTCCACAGCCATGATGGCTGAAACTTCATTTTTCTTTAAGAATGAAAATAGAAATCATTACATATCCATTTGACTCCAGGAACTGGGTCTTTAAGGAAAACAATAATTTATCATGGGATTCATGACAAAATCAAGAGAGTTGGCAATACTTTTTTACTTCTATTTAAAGGCTAGTTACTTTCTAGAGGGCTCTTAAATACACCAGAATATCCAAGTTGCAGTTCTCACAGGAGAATATTTAAAATCAAACACAAAACAAATTCCACATTTTAAACTTCAGAAAAAAATTGAGACTTCTGAGGTATATCAGGGTCACTACAGGCAGGACGGAAAAATTAAGCAGGCAAAGGAGCTCTGTGTAACTCTTCCTCTTCAAAGAAAATTGGTGGGTTAAATCTTCTGGTTCCTAATCAAGTAAAATTATTTCTATCTGTCCCTCCATTCATACCTATTAACATGTGCTCAATAACTATACACTTCATACTTGGATATCTGAGCTATCTTATCCTGAGCTGCACATTTTATACTCTTTGGCTACGTCTACACTGGCCCCTC